GAGAGAGAGAGAGAGAGAGAACTGCTCATGGAGATTAAGAGTGCACACAGAGCACCACTCCACTCTCCCATGGAGAAGGGGATGTGAAAACCATAGCGTTCTCTAGCCCTATAAGTTCCTTTACTGCCATGAACACTCTTCCAACCCTAATTTGAATGTCTAATCTCATATACACTGAAGTTTGGTGATGGAAATTGATAAACTTTAAATCTTTTATCTTCTCACAATGCTCATGCTGTAGAAAGAGTGGACTATATCTCCTAATCACACTGTGTAAAGTTGGTCTCTTTGTCCAACTCATTCCCCACTAGAAAGGCTTTCTTTGACTCTTTTGTGCTATAGGGTACCTCCCAGCTTCCCTACTCCTTGAAGTATTCCTACATACCTCTAGACTCCAGAGAGTTTCCTGTTAATCCAAAACATTTGTCGTCTATATTCCTCATTGGAAAATTAATCATGCATTATGTGTGGCATCTCTTAAATGGTCAACATGAATAGTGTTTGCATAGTGATACTTGGAATGCTGTAAAATGAAGTTTAAATTAGTAATTATGAATTTCAGGTGTAATAATAATGATGCCCATGGCAATGGTAAAGGTAGGAATGTCTCAAGTATTGGAAGTATAGAAGAGTAAATTTCTTTATACTTAGAACATGAATTATAATCATTTGTACATAATTAACATCACATGTGTGGATGACCCAGTGGGGCCAGTCATGGAGCATAGGAGTTTCCCTAGACCTTATAAGTCGGAGTCCATGGACAGGTTTTCTAGTGTTTCCAATGGTAGGATGAGCATGTCAACCTTGCCCTCAGGTTTTCTGAACCTCGTTCTGGGATCACTACTTGTGCATTGACTCCTGAGTTTCAATTCTCAAGTCTTTTCAAACATCTGACCAAAGTCCAGAGTTTTGTATATTCAAAGTATTTCTTACCTTTTCAAAATTTCATGCTTTCAATTATGTTCCATTTACATGTTTAAGAGGTTGGACTTTGGTACCTTCAGAGCTACGCTTGTTCAAGCAGATTCATCTTCAGTTTCCCAAATCCCAGCTCCTTTAAGTGAAGCCTTTGGTCAGTGAATCAGTGCTGGCATGGTGGGTTGGCAGCAGGATATCAGGTGCCGTGCCTTAGCACACAGAGCACTGTCATGTATCAGAGTTTGTGGTGCCAACAACACAAATGCACTTCATCTCCCTCAGTGAAGGTACAAACGAGGAAGTCTGTGATCAAGTCCATCAAATTTTGAGTTTTGCTTTGAGTTGGAAGGTCAAGTTAAGATTCAGGTATACACAAGCATAAGGTCTATCAACTTTGTTCAGAAGAGTGTAGCTTGTGGGCAGATTCCAAAAGGCAAATGCTCCCGACTGATGAATCTGTGCCCCTCGTCTGGAGCACCATCAAATTGTCTGGACAACAGTATAGCTGGGCTCGCACGTCAAAAAGCTGGGCAGATGTGTTTGTAGACAGTGGAAGATATTCATGTAGAGTAAGTTATAGATGCTGGAGTGCCTGCATGCTGGGGAAGTTGATAATATACTTGACTGGGACGTGAGAGTGGAAATAGGATGTTTTATGCCCACTTAAAGGACGTTGTTCTCAAACTCTTTGGTCTCAGAACCCTTTTACATTCAAAATTAGTGAGGGCACTGTGCCTTATTTATGTGGGTTATATCTGCTAATACTTGCTGCATTAGAAATCAAAATTGAGTCATTTGTAAAATATTTTTTAACATTTATTTTTCATTCATAAAAAATAACATTCACTTTGTGGTAACATAAATATGTTTTTAATGAAAAATAACTATATTTTCCAAAGCAAAAAAAATTATTAAGAAGAATGGCATTATTTTACGTTTTGTAAGTCTGTTTAATGTCTAGCTTGATAGAAGACAGCTAGATTCTTTTTTCTGTTTCTATAGTCATCTATTGTGACACAATACAGCATAGAGTCTCTGGACGATGCCACTATGTGCTAATGAGACAATGAGACTGAAAAATCAGGTAACTTAGAAGCATTGTGAAAGTAGATTTTAAGAACTTGTGGCACCCCATGGATCCATGAACTAAACTTTGAGAATACTGTCCCAGCATTAAACCTTCAATAGTACCCAGCTGACCAGATTTGGTAATAACCATGGGTCTACTCATGGGGGTCTGAGTGATCTAAGAAAAGATCAAGGATAAATGATGAATTTGGATATGAAAGACCAGGCACAGACTGATAACCCTAACATAATGAAGGACAGTCTGGACAGTGAGATTATAAGGGAAAAGCTTGTATGAATAGAAGAAAACACAAATAAGATTATGAACTGTGATTCCAGTGCAGAAGCTGTCTTCCTTATGCTATATATTTACATTCTTACCTCTGTCTGGATAATTTCTGATTTATACTAGAGTCAGAGCCAGTCACTGGTGGTAACAGCAAGGCTTTAAGACTATCTGATAATTTAGATTGATTATAATTTTCTGAGAATACTATCTATAAGTGGAAGTACTTATAAAATCTGTAGTAAGAGTATTAGTAGTACCTATAAAATAATGGTTGCAAAGTTCAGGAATTTATGTTTTTAGGATCTATAATTATTTTATTTTCTATGATAGTAAAACCAATAGGTAATATTTATAACTTAAGATTATTTCAATGCCTGAAGTAAGGTTATACAAGACCTTCAATAGTAGCATTTTCCATATCTGTAGCTACAGTTAGGAACTTTTCAGAAGCAATAATACTATTAGTATGTGTAATGCAAATGGCTCTATTGGTAGCTATGCCATTTGGAAAAGTTCATAGGAAAATAAAGTGCATTTTTTTAGCATGACTAATTACATACTCTACTGTAATATTAACTGTTGGTATAGAAGCCATTTGAGTGCCAGGGGTATCACTAGTGCTCTCAGTTATGGTATTATGTCATGTGACTCAAGAAACAAGTTGGACTATTTTAATAACTACACCTCAGACAATAGTATTTATAGAGCCTAATGTGGTGTTATCTGAGACCCGTGAAGTCTGCAGCAAGGATATATAGGATATACAAAACATCTGTAGTTTAACTGATGAGGTTATAAAAATAATAACTATAATTTAAAAGAAAGAGAGTACATATTATGGCTGCAAAATAAGTACCCACAGCTTCTTTGGTGAAAGCTATAAGGATTGTAAGCCTTCCTAAACATGTCTGCAATGATGACAGTGTTTGGAGTAGCTGTGTCTTTTGTGGCTAGAGCACTAATATTTGTGAAAACTTAAGTAGCATAAAATAGAGTATCTCATAACTGATTTTCTGTATCTGTAATAGTTGTTTGAAGGAGTTATCTGAGGTAACGATCCTGCCTTGAGTAGTAATCATGGAACTAGAGTAGCATTTACGGCATTTGCAATATAAGTAGTGCAGTAGTAGAGGTATGTATTGTGCTATTAGGAGTGGTAGCATTTAAAGCATATTTGGTAATATTTGTAGTACCTGTGGTAGCACTAGTTGCAGTAATAGGTAAATAACTAGCCACTACTCCCCAGTAGTAGAATTTGTTGTTGCCATATGGGAAGTTTCTAAATCTAGACCAGTAGTTGTTATTGTGTCTAAGGCTGTTGTGATATTTGAAACAGAAATGTGTGTGGTGTTACCCGTTACACTGTTAGAGTTATCTGCATCAGTGATATTTACTGCATGGCCTGTACTATTTATAGTATTGGTGATGGGAATAACTGTGGTCCTTGAAATGTAAGTGTTTGTAAAGGCTGTATCAGAAGTAGTAATTAAATTTGTAGTTTTTGTGTTGAAAATATGTGTAGCTATAGTGGTACTATGTACTGTAATGGCACTTGCAGTAGTTTTAGTAGTAGATGTAACATCTGCAGTGTTTATATGTGAGGAAGTGGCAGAGTCTTCAGTATTAGTAATTATGGTGTCTGAAGTAGTAGAAAAAGTATTCAAAATAGGAATAGTTGTGATGCTAACATTAACAGTCGTGGGAGTACTTATAACATCTGTAACACCTGGCATTATACTGGTCATGTTTGCATTGTTGGTATTTGGTGTAGTAGTATCTCCAGTGTCTGTGGAGGTGGTATTTAAAGCATAACTAGGGGTATTTGGAGGATAGGTAGTGGTGGTATTTGTGGTAAGTGCAGCTGGAGACTTGTCATCTGTGGTGATGGCACCAGGTGTGCCTATATGAGGTAGAGTTGAAATTACCTCAGTGGTAGTTTTTATAGAAGTAGTATTTGTCATCATGGTAGCTGCAGCAACTCCTGTAGTTGTATTTGTGTTTCCCTCAGTGGTGATATTTATAATACTTGTAGTAACTAAATCCATTATAGGGGCTGTAGTGCTGGCAGTAGTAGTATCAATGATGCCTAGACTAGGAAGATTTGTAGGAGCTAATGATGTGTGGCTTAAGCCTAGAGTCGTAGTAGTAACAGAATGGGGAGCAGTGAACTGTGTGATGTGTATAGTGAATGTGTCTGTGGAAGTAACTGTTGTATCTGGACTCATGGTATTATCTTTGGTGCTGGTAGTAGCAACTGTAGCATCCATTATCATGGTACTTTTTGTATCAAGAGTGTTGAAAATAATGGTGTTTGCATTTGTGGGGGTAGTAAAATTAGTAATTTTATCAGTAGTGAATGTATTACTTGTTGGAAACATGCTCAAAATAGGAGTAGTAGAGCTAGGAATAGAAGTAAGAGTGTGGGTAGGAGTGGTGGGAGAAGTTTGGTAATAAGTAGTTATCCCAGGAATAGTATTTTTACCTGTACTAGTAGCATCAGTACTTGGAGAAGGAGTAGTCACAATAGGAACAATATTACCAGAAGAAGTAGCTGATATGGAAATACTATTACTAGTTCTATTACCAGCAGACATTGTAGGTAAAAGAGAATTTGTCACAGAAGATTCATTATTTGTGCTAGCAACATCAGTACTTGTAGGAGAAGTAGTTACCATAACAGTAGTGTTTGTAGCATTAGTACTTTCAGAGGAAGAAGTGGTCATAATAGGAAAACTATTACTAGTAGTATCAACACCAGTATTTGCAAAAGAAGGAATAGTAGTAATTGGAACAGTATCATCAGTACTTGTATAAGAGGTAGTGGTTATATTAGCAACATTAGTAGTAGTGCTAGCATTAGTAGTACTTGTTTGAAAAGGACTACTTATATTATAAATAGTAGTATTAGTGCTAACATCAGTAGTACTTGTTAGAGAAGGAGTAGTGGCAATAAGTACAGTAGTACTAATGGTGGCATCAGCAGTACTTGTCATAGAAGGAGTCATTGAAATGGAAACAGTAGCTATAGTGCTCATACTGGCACTACTTGTAGGAGAAGGCATAGTGGTATTAGAAACAGTATTACTAGTGTTAGCATCAGCAGTATTTGTAGGGGAAGGTGTGGTTGTGATAGGAACAGTAATGCTAGTGCTAGCACTAGTAGTACTTGTAGGGAAATGAGCAGTTGTATCAGGAAGCATGGTACTAGTTGTAACACCAATAGTACTTGTTGCAAAAGGTTTGGTTGTCACAGGAATAGCAACACTAGTGCTAGCACTAGTAGTACTTATAGGGAAAGGAGCAGTTGCATTAGGAATAGTAGTACTAGTTGTAACAAGAATAGTACTTGTTGCAAAAGGTGTGGCTGTGATAGAAACAGAAGCATTAGTGCTAGCAGTAGTAGTATTTGTAGGGAAAGGGGTAATTGTATCAGGAACAGTAGTATTAGTGGTAATATTAATAGTACTTGTTGGGAAAGGTGTAATTGTCATAGGAAGAGTAGTATTAGTGCTACCAGTAGTAGTATTTGTGGGGAAAAGGACAGTCGTATCAGGAATAGTAGTATTAGTTGTAACACTAATAGCACTTGTCACAAATGGTGTGGTTGTGATAGGAACAGCAATGCTAGTGCTAGCACTAGTAGTGCTTGTAGGGAAAGGATCAGTTGTATCAGAAACAGTAGTACTAGTTGTAACATCAACAGCACTTGTCAAAAAAGGTGTGGTTGTGATAGGAACAGTAATGCTAGTGCTAGCACTAGTAGTGCTTGTAGGGAAAGGAGCAGTTGTATCAGGAACAGTAGTACTAGTTGTAACATCAACAGCACTTGTCACAAATGGTGTGGTTGTGATAGGAACAGCAATGCTAGTGCTAGCACTAGTAGTGCTTGTAGGGAAAGGAGCAGTTGTATCAGGAACAGTAGTACTAGTTGTAACAYCAAYAGYACTTGTYRCAAAAGGTRTGGTTGTSAYAGGAACAGYAAYRCTAGTGCTASCACTAGTAGTACTTRYAGRGAAAGGAGSAGTTGCAYTAGGAAYAGTAGTACTAGTTGTAACAAGAMTAGTACTTGTTGCAAAAGGTGTSGCTGTGATAGAAACAGAAGCATTAGTGCTAGCAGTAGTAGTATTTGTAGGGAAAGGGGTAATTGTATCAGGAACAGTAGTATTAGTGGTAATAYTRATAGTACTTGTTGGGAAAGGTGTAATTGTCATAGGAAGAGTAGTATTAGTGCTACCAGTAGTAGTATTTGTGGGGAAAAGGACAGTCGTATCAGGAATAGTAGTATTAGTTGTAACACTAATAGTAGTTGTTGCAAAAGGTGTGGTTGTGATAGGAACAGTAACGCTAGTGCTAGCAGTAGTAGTGCTTGTAGGGAAAGGAGCAGTTGTATCAGGAACAGTAGTACTAGCTGTAACACCAACAGTGCTTGTTGCAAAAGGTGTGGTTGTGATAGGAGCAGTAGTAGTAGTGCCAGTGGTAGTATTTGCACTGGCAGAACCAGTGATAGTCTCAGAACTGGTAGCATTAGTAGTAGATGGAGAAGGATGAGAACTCGTTGGGATGGTACTCGTCTTAGTTGGAGTAGGAAGGACAGGATCACCATAAATCCAAGTAACCTCAGTTAACTTTTCCAGGTTGATAATGTCATCAGTCAATTGAATAGTTAGTGTCTGCCAGAAAAGAAAAGTCATAAATGGATATTTTAGAACTTCTTAAACCTACATGTAGGTCACCTCTTAAATTACAATTTAATAAAAAATGATGTATTCATTCCTTTCCAGTAATAAGATATAAACATTCCTTTTCAGGTTAGGTCACATTGATTCCGGTCAGGTAAATACAGAGAGATGCTCTGTGTGCATAATCCCTATGCTGTTTCTTTTCACTTCATTTAGTCAGAACCTTATTGTTTACAAATATTTGTAGCTGTGATTAAAACAACATTTATTAAAATCTCTTTGTTTTGCCACTGGGTTTTAGTCCTCTTGACAGCAGGGCGGTTTCATGTTTTCCTCATTCCAAACAGTATAGTGCCTGGCACATAATAGGCATCAGATGCACCATACAGTTTTTAAAAAGAGGTCTTCCAGGATTTTCTACACAATCTTAACAGGAAGCAATTACTGTTCTAGGTCTAGGTAAAATGCTTTAAGGTAAATTCCCAGAAGAGCTTAAAGGGAGAGTAACTATTTGAGCACTCAGAGGGGCCATTTTCCAGAGTCCAAATACCATCAGGGCGCCCACTTCACCTTATAGAAAAAAAGAACTATGGTTATTCATTTTCACTTTTCTAAACTATCCATTACGGGTTGCTGATTCTGTGTTTATGAAGTCTTGTGTTCTAAAAGTGAGATACTTTTTTTGTAGTTGCCTTTGGTAATGATTGGTATTTTATCTTCCAAAATTCTAGTTTAGTTGGTTCTAGAATCCTCAGGTAGGGCCTGCTATTTCTGTCCCCCTGTTTTGTCAACCTTTTATCTTATACCACAGGTGAATATATTCACCTGATGATCACCACAGTTTACTGCCAATTTTCATCCACCCGTAAGATCCATCAGTTTGACCAGGGACATGAATAAGTGCAGGAAGGACGGGGAAACCTTCAACAGCTTTAGGGAATCACCCTTTCCTTTGTTTTAGCCTCTACAGCAGGAATAAGTTTTATTTTGCTAACGTGGAAGACCAACCTATCAAAACATAGCAGTCTCTTTGGTAAATACATGGAGAGGATCTCATCAGGCCAGTGATCACTGACCCCTAGACTATACTGAAAAGACCACTAATGTTGCACATTTTACAATATGATTCAACATTTGCAACTTTTCAGGAACATATCTATTGCACATATTTATAACATTCTAATATATGAGAATATAACATGATAATTTTAATTGCTAGCAAAATTATTGGTGATAATTTTGCAGAATGACAAAATTTACTTGTGATATGCTAATATTCCTTTCAGACCTACCTGTTTATAAGGGTCACTCTGGAAATTTCTCCCCATAAATGGCTTGTTGTCATAGGTGTAATTGACTTGTGTCACATAGGTAGAGTTCATACCCCAGATTCTAATATATCCAACTTTTAGTGGATTTGAGTCACTCAAATACTTATTGTGTATGGTCTGGATTTGCAAGATGTTCTATAAAGAATTTATAAAGAGAAAAATATACATAATATATTGTTGATAGACTATGATCCGTATTAAAATATTAACAAACCTAAATTTACTTTTGTTATATCTGTTTGCTCTTTATGTATTTACATTTTTATTGATACATAATAGTTATACTTATTTATGGGATACATATGATATTTTGATAGATATATACCATGGGTAGGGATCAAATCAAGGTATTTAGGATATCCATCACCTCAAACATTCACCATTATTTTTTTAAGACAGAGTCTCACTCTGTCACCCAGGCTGGAGTACAATGGCATGGTCTCGGCTCACCGCTACCTCTGCCTCGTGGGTTCAAGCAATTCTTCCCCCTCAGCCTCCCGAGTAGCTGGGACTACAGATGTGTACCACCACACCCAGCTAATTTTTGTATTTTTAGTAGAGATGGGGTTTCACCATGTTGGCCAGGCTGGTCTCGAACTCCTGACCTTGTGATCCACCCACCTCAGCCTCACAAAGTGCTGGGATTACAGGTGTGAGCCACTGAGCCACTGCACCTGGACACATTCATCATTTCTTTGCATTGAAACATTTCAAATCTTCTCTTCTAGCTATTTTGAAATATACTATAAATTGCTGTTAACTGTCATCACCGTACTGTGTTATCAAACACAAGAACTCACTCTTGCTATTTAACTGTCTCTTTGTTCCCACTAACCAACCTCTCTTTATGGCCCCCACCCCTTCCCAGAGTCTGGTAACTATAGCTTTACTCTCTACACACTTCATGAAGACATACTTCCTGACTACCTGCTATAATAAATTTGGTAATGCTGAAAATAAGTTTATTGTACCAGCATTATGAAAGTTATTTTCCCTACATTATAAGTATTCTAATAATCATTTTGAACAGAAAATATCAGTATTGCTATCTTAGAGACAAGGAAACTAAAGCTCTGGAAAATGAAGTGAGTAGTCCAAGGCAACAAGGCTAGATAACACAGGTAAAGTTGGAAGTGCAAGGTGCCCCTGTACATGGTACTGCATGAATTAATTTAGAGTGAGCAAAGAAGTGTGGCAAACAGTCACTAGACAAGGACAGTGTGCAAGAAACACGGGAAGTTAACCAAATCATAAATTGTGTAAGTAGTAATACAGCGGTCATAACAATATGATATAAATAATGAGGTGGCAAATGATGAAGGTCCAAGTGAAAATCACAGTGGTTATTTTCATGGGTGTGAAGAGAGGAAAAATTACAGGGGAGGAAGAGGATCAAGGAAGAACTTAGGAAGGACATGTAACTTCAGAACTCCTGGAAGGATGGAAAGGATTTATTAGGATACAGGAAACAGCGACACAGAGACACACTGAACAAAGGCGCCCTCATTGAGGAGTGCAAGGACAACCATAGCTGGTGCTGAGTAAACAGAGACATGAGGCCAGGTAGGTGTGGAGGGTAAGATTCTGAAGATTCTATGCAACAAATCAAGGACATAGTTGTAGTAGAGTGAAGCTATGCATTTCTCAATTATGATGGCTGCAGTAAGAAGAGAAAAAAGAACCCTATTCAATTGGCATTAAGGATGAACAAGACTTTTGCTACTGGGCAGGTGGAAACAAAGGAAAAATCAAGAAAAAATATATAGCTCAAAATAAATGGGTTCTAAAGCTAGTTCTTATTGATTTGAGAGAGTTAATTTTTAAATTTCCTGGAATTTTGCAAGCCAGTGGATGCTTGAAATTGGTTAAGATGGTGAGAGTAGCTACATTACAGAAATTAGCAAATGCTACAAATCATCTCCCACCCCCACAAGCTGGTTTACCAGCCAGGAAACCATTGATAATAGTATCCCCAGGAAAAGTTGGGAGCTTTCTTTCATTTCAGGCCCCTTATTCTTAAGGAAAAAAATCTATCAAACATCACAGAAATAAGAATTAATTAGAAAAATGAAATTTTGGAATTAGAAGTTATTAAAGGGCAATGTAATGTCTTACAATTAAAAAAAAAACACAGGTTAAACAGGGTGTCTTTCCTAATTTGAATAATAGTTCGCAGTAGAAATAGCACTAAAATTCAGGACTTCCATATCAATAGCTTCATTAAAATAATATTTGAGAGGAAAAAAATATGTAGTCTTCAACTCAACTGTTCAATTTAAGAGCAGAGAATATACAAATTTATTAGTATACAAAGTCTTGCAGTTAGTTTCAGAGGAACAAATGCAGGATGGAATAACATGACCTGATAATCATGTCTATGAGAATAATTTCAATGTATAAGCTGACCATGAGATTTATATGTGCCAAAAATCTGATACATGTGTTAAAAAATAACACAATGTAATAACAGCAGAAAAATATAGAATCTAGTAAAAAGAGGTAGTGGGCAATATGGAAGTCCATGCTGTCTTATAGAAATATAATGGAAATTATATATGTAATTTAATATTTTCTAGTAGTCACATTTTTTTAAAAAGGGGAAAGAAAAAGGGTAAATTAACTTCAAAACATATTTTATTTACATGATATAGCCAAAATGTTTTTATTACTTTTTTCAATATAAAAATACTCATAAGATATTTTTGAATTTTTTTCATTATGCTTTAAGTTCTGGGATACATGTGCAGAATGTGCGGGTTTGTTACATAGGCACACATGTGCCATGGTGTTTGGCTGCACCTATCAACCCGTCAGCTACTTTAGGTATTTATCTTAATGCTATCCTTCCTCTTGCCCCCCATCCCCCGACAGGCCCCAGTGTGTGATGTTCCCCACGCTGTGCCCATATATTCTCATTGTCCAATTCCCACTTACGATTGAGAACATGCAGTGTTTGATTTTTTGTTCCTGTGTTAGTTTGCTGAGAATGACGGTTTCCAGCTTCATCCATGTCCCTACAAAGCACATGAACTCGTTCTTTTTATGACTGCATAGTATTCCATGGTGTATATGAGCCACATTTTCTTTTATCCAGTCTAACACTGGTGGACATTTGGGTTGGTTCCAAGTCTTTGCTATTGTGAAACATGTGCATGTGTCTTTATAGTAAAATGATATATAATTCTTTGGGTATATACCCAATAATGGGATTGCTGGGTCAAATAGTATTTCTAGTTCTAGATCCCTGGGGAATTGCCACACTGTCTACCACAATGGTTAAACTAATTTACACTCCCACCAACAGTGTAAAAGCATTCCTATTTCTCCACACCTTTTCCAGTATCTTGTTTCCTGACCTTTTAATGATCACCGTTCTGTCATAAAATGGTATCTCATTGTGGTTTTGATTTGCATTTCTCTCATGACCAATGATGCACAGCCTTTTTTCATATGTTTATTGGCTGCATCAATATCTTCTTTTGAAAAGTGTGCATATCCTTCACCTATTCATATCATTCACCCACTTTCCAATGTTTTTTTTCTTGTACAATTGTTTAAGTTCCTTGTAGATTCTAGATATTAGCCCTTTGCCAGATGGATAGATTGCAAAACTGTTCTCCCATTCTGTAGGTTGCCTGTTTACTCTGATGATAGTTTGTTTTGCTGTGCAGAAGCTCTTTATTTTAATTAGATCCCATTTGTCTATTTTGGCTTTTGTTGCCATTGCTTTTTGTGTTTTAGTCATAAAGTCTTTGCTCATGCCTATGTCTTGAATGGCTTTGCCTAGGTTTCTTTTAGGTTTTTTATGGTTTTAGGTCTTACATTTAAATCTTTAATCCATCTTGAGTTAATTTTTATATAAGGTGTAAGGAAGGGGTCCAGTTTCAGTTTTCAGCATGTGGCTAGCCAGTTTTCCCAACACCATTTATTAAATAGGGAATCCTTTCCCCATTGCTAGTTTTTGTCAAGTTTGTCAAAGATCAGATGGTTGTAAATGTGTGGTGTTATTTCTGAGGTCTCTGTTCTGTTCCATTGGTCTATATATCTGCAGTAGATTGTAGTATATATATCTGTTGTATATATCTGTAGTAGATTGTTCTAATTCTGTGAAGAAAATCAATGGTAGCTTGATGGGGATAACATTGAATCTATAAATTACTTTTGACAGAATGGCCATTTTCATGATATTGATTCTTCCCATCCATGAGCATGGAATGTTTTTCATTTGTTCGTGTCCTTTCTTATTTCCTTGAGCAGTGGTTTGTAGTCCTCCTTGAAGAGGTCCTTGACATCCCTTGTAAGATGTATTCCTAGGTATTTTATTCTCTTTGTAGCACTTATGAATGGGAGTTTGCTCATGATTTGGCTCTCTATTATTGGTGTATAGGAATGCTTGTGATTTTTGCACATTGACTTTGTATTATGAGACTTTGTTGAAGCTGTTTATCAGCTTAAGGAGTTTTGGGGCTGAGACAATGGGGTTTTCTAAATATAAAATTATGTCATCAGCAACTGCAATTTGATTTTCTTTCTTCCTATCTGAATACTCTTTTTCTTTCTCTTGTCTGATTGCCCTGGCCAGAACTTCCAATACTATATTGAATAGGAGTTGTGAGAAAGGGCATCCTTGTCTTGTGCCAGTTTTCTAAGGGAATGCTTCCAGCGTTTGCCCATTCAGTATGACATTGCCTGTGGGTTTTTCATAAACAGCTCTTACTATTTTGAGATTTGTTCCATCGATACATAGTTTATTGAGTGTTTTTAGCATGAGAGATGTTGAATTTTATCAAAGGCCTTTTCTGCATCTATTGAGATAATTATGTGGTTTTTGTCATTGGTTCTGTTTATGTGATGGACTACATTTATCAATTTGCATATGTTGAACCAGGCTTGCATCTCAGGAATGAAGCTAACTTGCTTGTGTGGATAAGCTTTTTAATGTGCTGCTGAATTCAGTTTTCCAGTATTTTATTGAAGATTTTCACATTGATATTCATCAGGGATACTGAGCTGAAAATTTCTTTTTTTTTTTTTTTGCTGTGTCTCTGCCAGGTTTTGGTATCAGGATGATGCTGGCCTCACAAAATGAGTTAGGAAGGAGTCCCTCTTTTTCTGTTGTTTGGAATAGTTTCAGA